TCAACTTTGCACTAAAAGATTCTTTTTCCTAAACTATTTTCTGCATTTGGGGTTTCCACATCGAAAGTAGATATTGACTCATTCAGTATTTGGGTAGAATTCTCATTGACTATGTTCCTTGAGCGAGGGTCGATATTGATTTCTGCTTTTCCATACTCGGGTGCCAGAATAAAATTATTTTACAAACTAAATTTTGCGCAACCGAGGCAGTAATCATTGCAAGGGATATAAGGAATAAAAAATGGTTCGATGAAAGAAGAAATGGGTTAAATTATCAAGACTATTGTCTTTTTTCTTTATTTTCCAAGAATTAGACTGTTTTCCCTTTCTTTGAAAAAAGATTCACTTTTCATATCAATGGACAATTGCTTTAATTGAACGATTAGCCAAGCCACTAGGTATATATCAACTTGGGGTGTACGATAGACTTACCTCCACTTGGTGCACCCTGGGCAACGTATATTCATACCGCCAAAAAGTCTATTAATCGGCAGTTGACTTCTCACTTCAAACTACCATCACCTCACTCTATCCCATATTCGACTACTTCCACAGTACTCACCTCACCTTTTTCTACCTTTGTGTTTGTCTCTTACATCTTTGAAACACTCTTCTGTTCCCCCTCTCTCGACTTTTTTTCAATTTGATGTTCCTTCCTCTCTGTGAAACCTGAAGCCAACTAAAGGGCTAATAATAACCATCAAAACACCTGCCATTTGATTTAAATAAATAAATATCAACTTTTAAGTAGACTGGACTCATTAAAGTCTATTTAAATAACGTGAAACTAAGAGCGAGCCCAATCTTTTTCGGGTAAAATTTAAAATTTATGTTGTTGATAATTTACGAATCCAACATCGTTGAATTAAAGCGCTTCCGACTTTTTCAATTAGCACAAAATATTATTAAAATTTATTTCAGAAAAAAAACACAAATTTTGAATCCAATTATTCTGTGTTATCCAGCAGTCACGGCGTTTTAAACAAAAAAAAAGCAAAAGTGTATGCGTTACGCTCTCGTCAGAGCACTTTTATGTGGAGAAATTGTTACTGTTTCCCTGTTGTTACAATGTGTCTGCAGTGAACTGAACACCGCGAAAGAGACTATTATGCCCATTAAACCTAGGGATAAAAAGCACAATCGATTTCTAAGCCTCCCCACCCCCTCCCTTTTAAGGGGGCTTTAACCGGAAATTTTATATTGGAAGAGTCATAAAGGAGAATGAGCTCATTTATTAAATTAATTTAAAAGAGGGAGGGCAGCCAACGGTCAGCCACTTATAATTTGAGTCCACAAAAATGGAAAGGTAGATGTTCCGAGATAAATGTTCACCTCGAATCAAGTGAACCACCCTATTTGCAAGAAGTGGATAGCGTCAATTTTCATTCATTATTTCAATTTTGTAATATTTAGAAAATGTAATTAGTCATTTGAAAAAAAAGGTATCATCTAAGGTTAGATTCAGTTAAGGCGTGAGATGGTTACAATATTATATTTTTAGAGTAGAAAACGCTAAATTGAGACATTCTTTTTGCATAGAGCTTGCTAGCCACTCCCAAACTATCCGGACGAACAAAGACCCCGAGATAGCCTGAACAAAATTTCTTTTGCTTCAATCGGTTCTGAAATCTAAGAAGAAGTAAAGAGGCACATCTACTAATAGTTATACAACCTGAACTATCAAAAATTTTGAATTTTGCAGTTCTGCTCGATTTCTTCCAGCTCTCGTTATTTGAAACATTCCACATCTCCTTGCACTTAATTAATTAAAATTACGTTAAAAATTGCACTGGTTTTGCCTTAATTCACGTACATGTTCTGAATTCACTACCGAGAAGGAAGCGTGTTTAACAATTTGCTATAAAAATTTAGCGGAGTGGAATTTTCTATTAAATCGAAAGAGTTGGTAATAAGGCGCTTTCTTCAGAGATATTTTTCTTAAGAATATAATGTGTTGTTGATTACGCCCCCTATCTCCTCTTGACACAATTACCCTACTTCAATTGATTTGAATGAAGTGCGTTTGGCTCGTATTTTTTTCACTTTCTTTGAGTTAAATATCTCACCATGGGATCTTAATTTCTACTTATTTGTTGAGACGGAGTCATAATCGAAGAATACTAATAGAAATATGAAAATAACTTGACATGACGAGGGAGGGGAATTTTTTTCACAAAAAGGAAGGGCATATGCAGCTGAAGGTTTATCTACCTTTTCAAAGATAAAACTGTAACGAGGCTCAATATGAGTTTAAATACTTCCAAAATATTTAACACGTGTGTTTCAAAGGGGTTTTCACTTATTATGGATGGAAAAAATATGTATTATTGATTTAAAGTGGTTTGGCCTATCAATCAATTGAAACATTTGGTCAACTCATACAGAATTTGCAGAATTAAATAGTATAAACTGAAATTCAGACCTATTGATTAATGCAGTTTGAATTGAACATTTTTTAAAAGACTCTCGATAAACTTACACTCTTTCAATTCTATAGAGGGACTTATTTGTCACATTGGTTGTTCAAATGGTACTCGTGAGTAAGTACTTTTAAAGGATTGGGCGTTTTGCTGACAAAAATAAGACTAATTATTCTTAAAAGTATTCATTCGATTTTCAATCAAGGTTATCAAGATCGGTAAGTTGTTGATAATCAATACTGGGAAAAAGCTTTGAACTCCTAACTCCTTACTGGAAATCAACCAACTTTCTTACAATTTAACCGCACTGATCACGAAGACCTTTATTTGTATTTTAACTTTCAGTCTATTTTTTTATTCAACAATTAAATGACATCTCCTTAGCAATATAGATTGGTATTAGTTATAGCAATAATGCAATTCCCATATTGGCATTGTTTATAGCCTTGTTTGTCAAGACTAGTTAGCTACCGGTTAGCTGCACTGGTTGTCAAGGTCACCATAGAACACTAGAGGAGAGAAATTTTCCGTATGATTGAACTACTAAATCAGAGTTGCATATAAAATAAATTTTAATCAAAGTTGTCAAGTCAAGGGTAGAATTTAAAACTGGACTCAACCTCTAACGATTTGGTAATTATTCGCTACTTTATTCATTTTTGTACAGTTGCAAATTCGCTCAATTTATTTAACGACCAAGTGGCGTAAAACAGGCACTTTTGCTTAGAGCCATTCATCTACATCGTTTCCTTTACAAGGAAAGGATTGTATTAATACTATAGCATGTAAAAAGGAGTAAATTGACAGGAAATCGGTTTATTGTCAAGATCGTTCTAAATTAGTTGCTGTCAGACCCACAAATCCTTGTTAATCTGTAATGAAGCAACAATAATGAAACCTCAACAGCCAAATGCAGAAAAAGGTATAATCTAAAAAAACCTATAAAACAAAATTTAATTTTTTGTTTATTTCTGTTCGTATTGCTATTGTTCCTCCTGCCATTCAAAAATAAAGATATTATCACCAAATTACTGACAATATAATGGCAGGAAAAAAACTAACATGAGTTTTATTTTGACTTTAGGAAAAAATGAACCTAATAGCAAGTCACTATCGCTCTAATATGAAATTTGAATGACCTCTCAACACCCTCTTCCAACTCATAGTCAGTGGATCTAATAACGACACTTGTTAGATTCCCTTTTTAATTTCCTTTAATTGTACTATAGAACGACTTTAAATTTTTATATCGCTAACAAAAGCCATTTTAATGTATTATTGACAGAATTTGGAATTCGATTCTTACTTTACTTCAACTTATTTCTAAATTGTCATTGTCTCCTATATCCTCTTGTTCTAATTACTCTTTACAAGACTGAATTCTAATTTATGCGAGTTAAATGTACAATCATGTAACACTGATTTCGAAGCATTAATTTTGGGGTTAATGTTATGCTAATCGATATAATGTAGGCCCATGATCGTGAAGGCTGACATTTGCAAGAACCAGATATTAAGTTCCCTGGATGTCAAAGAAATCGCAAAAAACGAGATTAGTGGCAGTCGAAAGTGCCAGAGAATTTCGGTAAAGGTCTTATTGCAGCGAATATGTCCAACTATAAATATCAACATCAACATTATGAAACCCATACTCCAATTTATAGTGAGTGGTAGAAATTTAGATGATAAAAAATTGTGTTATTAGTCAATTAGGGTAATTAGTAGCACAGCAGGTCAGGTTATTTATTTTAATACCAATAAAACTAAAGTGATGAAAATCACGTTCACTTAGACCGAGGTCAATCAGCAGGGAACATAGTGCAGAGCAAGTGAAATGAAATCTATAATTTTGAACAATTTTAAGCAAAGATGACAAGATGTTAAAGGTTTGAGCCGAATATTAATTACACACTAACTTTAAATGTTTTTAAAAAATAAATTCATTTGCGTCGCTTTTTTAAAAATTAATTTTTTTTGTAATAATAAATAAAATGCTTATATAGCATAGTCTAAAATTTTTTCTGTATTTAAAAAATTAACTAATTTTATTGTTCCTTCCATTTTTGCGCATGAACCAAGGTCACATGTGAAATTTTAATATTCCATATTTATTTGCTTGGAACTCCTCGGACGTCCTCGGGATTCCATTCCAGAACCATTGTGGCTTTCAGTTTTACTTGTTAGGTCTCAACTGTCTTTGAACCTTTAAGACCATGCACTACTCTAATAATATGCTTAATTTGCATTTCAAAAATACATAGCCAAACTTCGTCGTGTGCTCCCAACTTGCAACGTTCTTTAAAGAAAGCTGCTCTTCTACCTACACATGTAATAAAATGCCACTTCTTCAGCCTTGATCTTAAGCTGAGGGAAAAATTTACCGATTTAATTGGCTACAAACAACTCGGGATACATCAAGTGAACAAATTTGAAAATTAAAAGATATTGCATCTAATTTTGTTACCCATTCGTATAAACGAATTAATAAATAGTGAAAAGCAAAAATAATTATTTAAATTTTAAAAATTACAATGGATATCAATCGATAAACTTGCCTTGGTATTGCTGATGGAATTGAGATCATCTTGGTGCGGTGAGCCCAGGACTTCTAGAATCATTTTCAGTTGGTCGATATCTAGGTTACTCGATGTAAGGAATTTAAGGAAATCGATTATCTTTTTCATAATTATGGAAACAATACACTTGAACCCAGAACGAGTATTCATCCACCTCCCCCCCCCCACCCCCTCCCCTGGACCATGCAAGCACTCTTTCATTGAAGACGTAAAATTTGTTTCAACGAACTGAAGAAATTGAAATTTATTTGCGTTCTTCTAAAAAATCTATTCTCTAAGTGATGAATAATCAAAACAATGTAAAAATAACGGCAAGCTATTGACGTCATAAATGCTCCGATTGTCAAGAATCCAATGGCACTTTGCTAATGAAGGGAGCTTTGATTGGCAAAAGAAAGTGGTTGGTATATTTAACTAAACAAACGTCCCTCAGAGCAAAAAAATCGCAATTCATTTATGAAATTCGCCATTTATGCTTTGTATCAATTTTTGCGAGCACTGGACAGTTCGGCGATCTTAAAATATTCCCTGGTGTCCTTATCGAAAATTGAAATTTCAAAATACAACTTCGCTGTTTTAGTTGAAAAAAAATAGAATGATAAATAGCCCTTCTGGTTCCAAAATATCTTGAACATAAATCTCATGGCCAATGCGTTTATGACAGTGTCAATAGAAAAGCGTGCACAATTTGGATTATAGTAACTTAAACCAAATAATTTTTTATTCAAATAAATAAATATCAGGTTCGATATCCTATCATAAAAATTATACCATTAAGTCCTTATTTCACATTAGGTTAATTATATAGATGCTGGTTATTCCATGAAATTTAAGCTATATTTAATTATTTTATAGATATGTTCTCTCAGCGTAAGCTTGAATGAAAAGCTAAGTAAGTGCAAATCCTTTTAAAATTAATTAGTTACCAATGGGATAAATTTGAACTACCTTTGGCAATGAGAGAAGGGAAAGATGTCGCTAATTATAGCTTTCATTGCGTGCTTAATGACCATAAAATCAAACTAAATCCATTGAGGAGCGCGACTCACACATCTTTCGATGACTTAGAGGGAAAGGTTGCGTTTGATAGTTATAAGTTTATTGGTGACCATTCTAGCAAACGACTAGGGCAACATCTTCTTTTGTCCGAGCATTTATACTGCCTTCCACTTAGACCTCCGAATAGGCACCTTTTAGTTTGGTGTTTGAAAAGTGTACATAATCAGGTCAGGGGTAGATCATAGTTTGCTTCAAATTTTCAAACGACGTCTGGATAAAATAGACATTTTTTTTATCATATATAAAGATTGGGATCCATTGTTAACGAAGTTTAATTAGCTCTTTTGTAATTAAAGTATCTTCATTTCCCCACTCATGACTTTGAGGACCACACATCGATCTTGAATGAGCCAACTGTTTAACTAGCTAACTAACAGGAACCCACCAAGAAATCCTGGGATAAAATTGCTGAATCCCTTGTTTTTAGGATTTTTAAATTTCTATATTTCCTTGTATCCTCTCTGGTTACCCATTACTTTCCCTACTGAAATATTTCACTATATAAATGTTATTGTCATTAAATCTTTTAAGTTTATTTAACCGCCCTGACCAAAGTAGCACTTCGAAAATTGTTAATACTTATTGTTTCAATTAGTTTAAAAACTATTTATTAACCTAATACAGAGTATATTGCTAGTGTCAAAATGTGAACGCACAGATAGTCAGATGTGGAGGATTTGTTCTTGGAGAACCATTTAATTGTGCTTGTGAAATAAGCTAGAACCTTATTTCCTTCCCTGCTAACAGAAACCTTGCATCAGCCTCTTAATCAGAATAAAAAAGTTAATAAAAAAAATTAAAACATTTATAAACCTCTTTCATTAATTGTATCAGGTATATTTTTAAGTGAGTCTTGATACTGCTGAATGAGACATAGCAAAAGAGAAAAATTAAAAATTTCCCGTTTTTTTTCCGGGTATTCAGAATGGTTTTCAAGAACGTTTTTAAGAATTAAAAACGCAGAACAATTAATTTCTTCATTAATTTGCCGAATTAAAGAGCTGAAAATGACTCCTGGACTCTGAGAAACAGGATTATAAAATGATGTTAAAAGTGTTTAACAAAGCTATAATTGAATTCATTAGTGATTCGATGTACTAACTAACCACCTCTTCTCACGGATTTTCAAAAAGTAATAGAATTTCTACGTGAAAAAAATTGAGATATTTTCTTATTCACATGACTGGAGATTTGCCTGTAGATTGCTTCATGGCTGAATAACTCTGTTCTCCAATTCATTGAGAAACAAGGGTACTTGCTAGTGGCTGTCAAATAGGCAAGCAAACAAGCTAAAATGGAAAATGAGGAAAGAAGGATACAATGCTTTCCGGGGAACAGGACTCGATTGCTGAACATCTCGGCAAGAATACAACCAATGGACCATAGATCGATCGCTTTGTTGTAGACCTTGGAGGTGAGCATAATCTCTGGAGCTCGGTACCACCTTGTCGCGACATATTCTGTTAAAAGACCCGCCTGATTACATTGGGGATCAGCTATTCTAGCCAACCCAAAGTCACATATCTATTGAAAGAAAACATCAAAATTCCTGTATACAGACTTAGTTAAGCATTGATGTAATTAAATGCATTAAGCACGTTGATTTGGTGATGCTTAATTTGAAAGACTACAATTTTAAATGTTGAAAGCCTGTTTTTGTCCCCTCTGCTGCACGTCAACTAAAAACCACGAAAGGTTATATGGTTTATAGCAGGTCAAGACGGAAGCAGAAAAGTACATATTTCCAATCGGAGTGGGCAAAAAAATCAGAGTTAAAATGCTGTTTACAGCGCCTTGGAATATATTCTAAGGAGTGAAGGTCATCAACATATTGGCACAGCTTCGGAAATGCGTAGTTATTGGAATAGTGAAATTGGTCAATAAATTAGAAATTATTAAATAAAGTAGGATCAATTAATTGAGAGAATCTGTAGTAGTCCTGCTTACCTAGATAATAATGCATACTTGTTTGCTTTCTAATTGCAAAATTATGAAATTCTATTTGTTACCCAAGAGTAAAATTCTCTAAGCGTATAACCCAGATGTCATACACTTGGATATTGCGCTTGTTCCCCCTTATCACAATTTTACGCTTCTCTGCATAAACCTTCGACTAATTCTCTTATATTCCATAGCGTTTATCGAAAACACCATCGTCAATTTCAAGTGGGGATCTTCGGATATGAGAAAAGATTGGTATTTTCATTTAAGCCTTAAGTTTTGAGTGAATATATTATTTAGTCAAATTTGCTCGAATATTAATGGTAGATTTACCACCTCTTTATTAATAATAATAATCTACAAGGCATATCATCGAATTATATTATTAAAATGGCACAGGGTTGACATAAATCACGGGCAATGTCCAATAGGAATATTACCAAATACCTCACTATAACGAGTTAAGGTAATAAAGAATTCATCTGTTGAATAAAAATAAGCCATTTTAAATCAAAGGAATGAGCCTGGAAACTCACTCTAAGATCGCACATACGGTTCAGGAGAATGTTGCTGGGTTTAAGATCCCGGTGCAAAACATTTGCGGAATGTATATATTTTAAACCTCGAAGACAACAAATCATAATAAGTTAGAATCATACCACGTAGCATTTGGTAAAGGAAATAACAGGTATGCTCGCGGCTTAGTTGCTGCACTTTTAGTAATTTATAAAGATCGGTTTCCATGTATTTTTCAACAATATAACTAGAAAATAAGCTTGAAAATTTAAGCTTACACTTCTTTCATCTCGTCGAATGTTGATGTAATGAAAACATCATATAAAGGAATAATCTAAAAAAAAGGTTGACTAACATGTGTAACATACATTCTCGTGATCAAGACGACTGAGGATTCGTATTTCCCTGTAGGTTCGTTGGCAATATGTTTGGTGCTCGAAAGGAGTAATCCGTTTTATGGCAACCCTCTCATTTCGTCGATGGTCAAAAGCGGAACTTAAAATGGAAATTAAATTAAAGGGGGTTCATACATAACCAATCCGTATGCGCCTTCGCCAATGTAGCTTAGTTCCGAAAAGCGAGATCCAATGTCAAACATCTGGCCTTTAATCATATATGGATCTACGTTGTCTCCACTCATCGTTAGGACAGTAGGAAATAAGTACAAATTTATTTGCTGGTGTATTTTAATTTTCAATATTGCTTATTATTTATCAGTTTGAAATTCCAACTAAACTGTCCGCATTATCTTTTTGAGGTCATTGAATAAATAGTGAATCAATATTTTAATGTGTTAAAACATGAAAAATATACTATTTTGCGTAATTGTTAACAAATAAAGCACGCTTCAAAAAAATTCAAATTCAGTCTTATATAAGTTTAAAAATCAATTATTTATATATATTTATCATATAATACTATAATGAGCATAACAAGAGTTATTTTACGACAGAATTAAATTTGTGCTATGTTTCACTGCTTGCATCAAGCGTCAGTATAAAGTTCTAAAAGTCACAATATTAAACTCAATCCTGTGATCTAGCAGAGCTTTCACCAAATAGAAGTTCGTGCTATTTCTATCATTGCCTAGCATATATATATATATATATATATATATATATATG